CTTAAATATGTAGGAAGAAGGTTGTTGACAGCTTTAAAAGCTAAGATTAACATATCTTGTATACGTCGATAAGCTAGAGTGTAGCCAGTTCTTTCAGTTAATTCCCTAGCATTTGTAGGTGATCGGCCACTATAAATGTACCTTAGAGCTCTCTCATTTAGTTTATCGAGCTTTTGACTAGAGGTAAATCGTCATTTTCTCGGAAACGACTATGGTGAACTATCATTTTTTTTCTGTTGTTTTGAATTGAGTAATAAATTTCCCTGTGTAAAATAAATATGGATCAATTCTCAGTGTAGAACAAAAAACAATCGTCGGAAACGTGAATTTAGCAAGCAATCGTGCCGGAGTACAATCATGGATGTATTAAGAGTGATAGGCCTTTACTCTCAATACTGTTTTTAAAACTCTTAACATTTGGCTTCTCTCTATCATGATGGTCTAGTTTGTTTCAAAGATGTGGCCCAAAATATCGTAAAGAATGTTTTCCATAATGAACTGTGCGAAAAATCAGCGTTCCTCAGATTATACCGTTTTTTGGTAGTATTGGATATTTCTGTCATATAAGTGGGCACAAGTCCGTTTTTTACTTTATACATGAAAATGGCGATGTTTTGTAACCGTTGTTGGTTCCGGGCCAAAGTGACCTATACGTCACCAGAGCTGTACTTATCCGTCACTTTGTACATCTAGGGATGTCAAATTCATCGCAACCTCTTGTAGGTTACCTCTAGAGGTATTCGGAACGGAGCGTAACGTCACTCTCCTTTTTGTTAAAATTCTCTATCGTATACGTAGTGTGACAACGGTTTCCGTTTTTATACGCAAGTTTAAGCTTATTTTATATGGAAGCACTTGGTTCTTTTGATGGCAGAAGGTCCTGAATTGTCGATTTGTTTTCTACATGTCCTTCGTTATCTTCTGCAAGAATCTACACTAGTTGTATCGTCGTTGTCTTTCAGCATTTTTACCGGAGTTTTCACCAAAGGTGCCTCTTGTTTGCTTGCATCCGAGTGAGCCAGTTGATCAAAGACTACAGCGGGGTCCACTTAGTGCGTACTCAGCATAGAAATTTGGTAACATTGCTGTTTGAAATAGTCAGTGTTATTGGAGACGCTGTAATTTCAGCTACTGCCAGTGGTGGTAGGCTGATCAGTTCTTGGCAGTGACCGGGTTATATTGGTGCTGCTGAGTGGCTGAACTCGGCACTTTGCTGTTTATCAAAGTGAAGTTGATTTAAAGGTTAATAAGCCGCCGTAGCGATTTTGCCTAAACATAAGTTATGAAGGACTTTTGTTGACGGTCTTATTGATAATGATTAAAAAGTAGCTTCTTCTAAGAAACATACCCAATTCAAGACTAGAGTGCTAAACCATACCTTATTTCAACCAAAATGGCCAAAATCGATACCGTAATTATGCGGTGGTTAAAACGGCTGAAAAACCCTACCCTTTGGGACCGCACATACCTATATAGCCCATATAAGGGAGTACCCCTCCCCCGGATTTTCAAGACGGTACGTTTTGGCTCCGAGCAGTCGGCCATTGCCTAGATTTTGGAAAAAATATGTCAACTACTAATGAACTAATTCTGTTGTCAGAAATTCTCATCAAATGTGTTGGCTCTAGTGCTGGTAACTTACACTTAGTGTGGGGTAAACGTGCTCAGTAGGGGAAGATCTTTTATGTTCGACGTCATAATACCCATCCAGACAGCTTGACGATAAATCCGCTAACAAACTGTTCCACTCTTTCTTTTCATTTGAAGACAACCGTTTGGCGCCGCGTAACTCCTTTCGTTGAGTTTTTTCGCTGCGATCTTCAACTATAGTATGCACGGCCACAATTCTAGGGAGATAATTGTGGTCGCAACTGTCCCCAGCCCAATCATTTTCTGCAAGGTTGCCTTCTTTATATACGATATTAACCGGTTTGTTACGTTGTGCAGAACATGTTAGCTGCGGACTGCTCTCGTCTTGGTTAAATGGGATTGTTAGTAGAAGTGTGTTATCTACATCAGTTGCTTCATCACTTGAGAATTTAGAAGTAGGTGGCAATTTTGAATTACGTGGCCTTTGCTTCATGATGCGATGTTTATTGATGTTTTCAAGTCTTTTAGACGTTGCGATCGTCTGCACGTGCTGTGTAACATCACCAAATTCTGTACGGTACGAATTGTGAATCCCACTCCAGCTATTTAACAGTTGTGTGTTGTTGTCTTCACTTTGTTGCGAACCCAACCTACGCGCTTCATCAAATTGTTTTTGTTGCGGGACCCTTAAAGACGCCCTTGAATCGCCATCTAATGGCGTGCGTTTTTGTGGTGGCATGGTACTGCTCTCTCGATCTTTGTCCCAAGTTTTGTTAAAGAACATGGTATTGCTGTATTTGGACCCTTCAGAACGTGAAGGGTGACACGTGATTCTCTGTATGCCCCTCTGATTTTCATTACCACGCATCTTGACTTTCTTGACTTTATTTCTTTGACTTTGACACCTTTTGGCCGTCCCTACATATCTACTCTTGCACTCGCTATCAGGTCTATTTATCGACTCCCAGAAGTCATTAACCCTATGTGGAATTTCAGGTCTTAGCCTTTGATTTTCCCCTCTGTGTTCTGTTGCAATTGAAGATAGACTCAACTGAAGTTTAGGTGACGCAATGTAGTGGATAGAGGATATATTTTGAGAAGATCTTCCACTTTTTAGTTCTGAATTTTCATCGTAGTCAGTTTTCGTAATTCGATCACTTTGTTTCAGAGCATGGTTTTCAAGTTCATTTTCTTGAGCTGTTTCAGTTGAAGGCTCTTGTATGTCTGTTTCAACCGAATGAGATAGTTGATTTTTCTCAGACTGTTTGCACACTTTATCGCAGCGCTCCTCTGAAAGGAGGTCAAGAATGTCGGCAATGGAGTGATCTTTCCGTGTCCTTTTCTGAGCCTTATTAAGTAGATTCTCCTCCTCTTGCCGCGACCGTTTTGGACAATGAAAGTGATCGCAGTGGTAGACGAGAGTATAACCATGGGTAAAGCTCTCGTGACCTAGAGATGTGTGACCATCACCAGTTTCCAGTTTCCAGTTCTCCTTCATAACTTTAGCCGGATAGAAGACTGGCTGTGCTGCACGTGTGTTGCACGTGTACTCAGTGTGCCACACAGCACTTTGTACATATGGCTGATAGTAGTTGTGAAAAGGAGGTAAACGATCACTTTGAGCCGTTTGCTTGATTGTCGACGGCGCATTATTGAAAGGCGATGAAACACACCCGAGTCCCAGTGTTGTTGTAGACTGTTGTGAAGGAAGATGCGTTCTGACGGAAGGGGTCGGATCCATATCAAAAAAGAGAGAGAAACCATTTGATTCAAAATATTGCAAAAGCATCTAAAATTATGCACTTCTTACTAATCGGAGTAGACAAAAGAAAAATGTTATCAAAAAGGAATGATATCTTCACAGTGTGAAAGATAAAATAGTATCTTCACTGCGCGCGATGAAGATATGATTTTTTTAGTAAAAGGAAAAATCCTGGTATTTCACTGGTGTTTATATAATAAAGTGTATTAACATTGTTGTAATGTTCGATGGTCTGTGATGCACAGGCTTGATATCTCGTAACTAAAACTGGCGAATCTTAAGCAGAGGTTTAGTCACGTCAACTTAACCTACATACATACGGGGATTCTGATGTACTTTGTTCCTAGTTGAAACGATATCGTTGAATGGTGACGAGCCACAAGCTAGGCCCACTGTGGAGTAGTTTGAAGCATGGTACATCCGGGCTTGACCTCAAATAATGGGAAGAAATAAAAACCTTTTAGAACGGGAACACGTTTCCATATGAATGGTTTCGCGCGAAGCCAAGACTCGTTTTGAAACAGAGGCAAATGACAACTCGTAAATGGCCTATTAACGTGTCTTCTTATAATAATATATGGAACATTTGTTATGACCCATTAGTTATGTCAAGTAAACCTTCATATGACATTCTGCGATGTCCAATCAATGATTTGTTTCGTCATTGTATTCAGTTTAATTTGCTTTTGAAAGTGACCAGAGGATCTGTAGACAAGAACAAGGTAAGCCGTTTTCCATTCCCGTTCAGCTATTTACGTTGATCAATTAGGAGCTTCATTTAGCGAATCTGCCCATTTACAACTGATATGTAAAAAACGCCCGCATTATTTTTATTTACCGTGCGTTATCACTGAGTATCCACCGGAGTATCCAACAAGCTTGGATATGTCACTGATATGTAAAAAACGCCCACATTATTGTTATTTGCCGTGCGTTATCACTGAGTATCCATCGGAGTATCCAACAAGCTTGGATATGTCACTGATATGTGAAAAACGCCCGCATTATTGTTATTTACCGTGCGTTATCACTGAGTATCCACCGGAGTGTCCAGCGAGCTTGGATGCTGTTTCTGCAGTCCTATGGTTATTTAACGCATTTTCCATGGTCTTACTTATCTGTGAATAATGATGCAGAGACAACTGATTAGTAAAATGTCCAAAAAGCGGGATTATTTTATTTGCACGTTTCGTTATTCAATTTGGAACAAAAAGAAGGATAACACGGCTTTTGTTTCTTTTTTACAGCTGTTTATCTTAGTTCGCCTTTTGTTTCACAAAGCACAGCTGTTGTGAAACCAATAAATTAAAAGTGCTCTGGACGTTTAGGAGTGTTCGTTTGGGACAGCAAAACCGTTGTCAGATTGCTGTATAATTGATGGAAGCACGCGCCATTTTCCATCGACCATGATTTTAGTTTGAACGGAAGGGAAATTTTCCAAGCTATAGAAAGCCTTTCACTTTTCACTTTGATTCCATTTAGGCGTTTAAGCTAATACTAACAACGTAAGTGATGATGAGTTATTCGACACCGAAATTTATTTTAATTATAAAAACAATCATCTACCTTACATCCATCGAGAAGAGAGCCCAAGTATTTTTAAGGATAAGGGTTTGTCGCGGTTTTTCTGTTCACTGATTTTAGAGTCTGATTCAAAGCATAGATCATACTCTTCTTGGGTTGATTTCGGTATGATGGCAAACATTAATTATCTTGTTTATGTATTTGACAGTATTTGCTTTTTTTGTTTTGCATTTTTCCATGGTTAATCAAACAGACGCATTACCGCCCTTTTGTTCAAGCGGAATCCTTTGTCTCCTCTTAACTGCGATCCAAAGCCCTTATATTTGGAAAGTAGCAGAAGGATACTAAACCTACCTGAAAGTTTTAAAATGTTGAACAAAATAGAAAATGATGAAAAGGCGAAATCAAGTGAAGTTCCGTGCCAGAATCTCAGATGTCTTCATAACTAAGTGACGGTACATCAAACATTCCGGACAAAGAACCTGTATCATATCCATTAGTGTACTGCATTCCTGGCAAATGCATTATATAACAGCAATCAAACAACGTGGCCATGAAATTGAACGAAACGTGAGCTTATTTCAATGGTGGCCAAAAAACGTTATACCCGTTCTTTCATCGTTTCAATTTCTCATGTTTCTCCTTTGTTTCTATTTACAATTAAAACTCTGGTCTCTTTTCCGTATTGTTTTCTTTTATGTTTCAATGTTATTCTGTCTAATCAAACAGTCCACGAGGTTTTAGTTTGAAATATCACTCCACGTCATTTTAGCATTATGTCACTGGGCAGTACAAATGAGAGTCGCGGGCTCCCGGCCGGTTGATGGACTTTATATGACACTGACGTGGGCACTGATATGAATGCGTTAAAAATCGTGTTTTGATCTCGCTTAGGGTATTCCATTTCAATTTGTTACAGTTGCTATATGTCCTGTAACCTATCACGGTACCTTCTCAGAGTGGGACGCAAACTAGGAACTACTTGTCAAGAAATGATGTTTCTTGGGACGTGGCTCTTGGCCGGCCAGTCTTAAAGCCACTTAACGCTCATCAATGAGAGTCATATCTCTTCGGGGTAAACATGAATTTCAGTCACGCGCTGGTAACTTTTAAGGGCGTTTTTCAAAATTCTAATGAACATCGATATCCCAGTCATTTTTATAAGAGAGCCCCACCGCGCGCCCCCTCCCCCAATCCAGTCCGGGATCTAAAAGCTCATTTTATAAGCTGGCGGCTTTGTTAGGAGTGAAACAATACATATTGTTTTCTGACTTGGAGTAACTTAATATTCAGAATGAAAGCGGCAGAAAACGAATTAATTTGGCGCGTAAAGTTCATGGAAATTTCATCTTCGTGTAGGTTAGCAAAGGTGAATATCAAAAATCCATTTTCGTGAAAATAATGCACGACCGTATGTGTTTAACGAAGCTTAAACCAGGTCTCAGTATTACGGGTTAACAATACTGTCTTAAGAAAAGTGCTAAAAAATAAATACAAATAGCAGTCTGCTTCCGCGCGAGTGTCCCTTTAATAGAGAAGGCTTAGAAACAAACTTGGAAACAAGCCGGGGGGGGGTACCGAACTTTTCGGTGGGTTTGTGTCCCCTGCTTCTTTAAGCCCTTAACCTACTTCAGACCAAAAATTTGATATCTTCGATATCATATTTAAGACCTGACCCAATAATGAATACCCTAATTCAGGTCCCTAAAATAAGTACACCTCTGTATACATGACCTCAGCTTATATGGAATGGCTTTGTGGAGAAAAAAATTAAAATTATCGTTGCTTCTAAGAACGTACCCAGTTGAAATCATTCCTCATTTCAGACCAAAATGTTTTAAACTAATCCTATTTGAGGTTCAAAATTCATACCTTTTTACGTTTGACATATATACAAAGCTTTTAAAAGGGAGTCCCCCCTCCCCGCTTCCCCGAAGCGAAGAGTTACCAGAATGCTTTTAATGTGTTTTTTCCCCGTTTTATTGTCAATACGTGATAATGTGAGATAGACAGGCGTGGACTAGAATAAACAGAAACGACAATTAGTGAGTACCGTCTCCATAAATACCGCGAACGTTTTTAATTTTGCCCATTCTATGCTAATTACTTTTGCTGCACACAAGTGCTGCCATGGATTTTTGGGTAGCTTCTGGAGAATTTGTCGCCCCTATTAAGTGCACCATATATCATAGCATTCAACTCAGTTGACGTTTGGCAGCAGACTGACGCACTGTGGAGACTATTAAAAACACCGCCTTTGAGCCGGTCACTTCTTTTATTCAGTTACGCCCACTGGTTTGGGAGAATTATCGCGATATATGGGTCATCTTCTCACGCCAAAAGCCCATGATGGCATCTTCGACTTTGTGAGTATATTTTTTAATTATGCACTTTGTAGAGTTATAACAATTTTAAAACAATACTGTAAGAAACAGTACTTGAAACCCTAATTGAGCTTCCAAGGCACGTGTTTCGTGAATTTTAGCCAATAATTCCTTGATGTAAAACTTCGTTTTACCTAGGTACCCGAAACGGTTAAAAAAACCTACGGCACTACTGAGTTTGACACTGACTTCCGATCTGATTTTGTTCTCACGCATGTTTGATATTTTGCCGAAGATTGTTAGCACTAAAGAAAAGTTTAGCAAAAGCGGAAAATTTAACAAAGCGCGCCGTGGAAACGAATGTGAACGTAGTATATTGTTTCGCCTTGGTCCCTTAAACAAGCAAACAGTTACATAACCACAGTACCAACGGTGTCGAAAGAAAACTAGTTTTTGTTATCAAATTTTGTTCTGATAGTTGTTACTCGCAATGAACAAATAAACTGACAGATCAATGCTTTCTTGGTTAAGCGACAAATGGAAATTTTTATTACTTTGGTGCGCTTATAGCCATAACAATAACGCAGTGGGCTCCTTCACAAAAATAAATTGTCTTAAGTGCGATACTTCCCGCTGATTCAAGAATAACTTCAACAAATAAATTGCCTTAAGTGCGATACTGCTCGTTGATTCAAGAATAGCTTCAACAAATATTAGTAGCTCGGTAGTTTTGCTAATAGACCTTTTAAGCTTGGGTGGTTTGTTTTCCCATTACAGACCACGTGATATTCTCTTACGAATTGTTCTTTTATCCAACTTGAAATTATTCATTCAAATACACGCGAATATTTGAAAATTTGAAAGTAAGAATTCTCAAACGTATCGTCACATGATCTGAAATGGGGCAACAAGCCGCCTAAGCTAAAAAGTCTGTTAATTGAAATGGTAAACTGATATTTTATCAGGCAATACATTAGGTAGCTGCATTAAATACAGTTTTTTCTCAACTGTCGTTATCATTCTCGGCCGGTTTGGCGTTCCTGGTAGAGAATGCCTGCGATTCCGTACTCTCGTACACGCCGAAACGGCCGGGAACGACCGGCTTGGAGCGATGGGACGAGGCTGTATTCGTAAACTATAGTAGTGGAGATTTAAAACAAAAGGTTTCTAAATAAAGACATTAATAAATAAAAAACTGCGATGAAATATTTCTTAACAATATTTTGATCCATATTCAGAAAATTATGTTAGAAGACTGAGACACTGGTTTCTACGTTTAGCTATAAACGTCATTATCAAGTCAGAATGAGAGTTGATAAAAGACTATAAATATTAAATAAAGCAATAGTTAATCAGAGAGAAATAAAAGTAGAAAAAAGTGTTCTTTCAGACAAAGAGTTTCGCACGAATGGAGTCAGGCTGTGTTTAAACTTGGATTAGGTTTTTTATCCTTTGTGATTAACTACTGTTTAGTATTTATACACTTTTTCTTATCAAATCTCATTTTGACTTGATAATGACGTTAGCTAAACGTCGAAACGTCGTTTCTTTGACATAATGTTCTTAATACGGTCGTTAGGAAATATTTCATCGCATTTTTTATAGTTAAATACAGTCTTTTTATAGTTAAATAAAGAGAGCAGTTATAATCCAGAGGAACATAGCAATTGTTTAATAGTGTAAATGGACTCACTATTTAACAAATTGACGTCAGTTTTTTATGCGTCTGTACTCTTATTGCTGATTTTCAGTGTCACGCGATTCAAAATAGATCAAAATAAAAACCAAAACCGGTAAATAGATATTGTCCAGAATCTGGGAAATGAAAGAGGGTAAATATCCAAAGACTCTCGCCAAAATTCTGGTCACAGCAATTTTTCCCATGCGAGATATGTGGAGAAATTTTTTACCTAAATTTATAGAGATTTGTATGGAGACGCCATGCTGGTGCCCATCCGTATAGGCACCAACATGGCGGCCGGAAACCAACAGAAACATCT